TCTGAGTGCCCTGAATCTTTGGTATCCTCTTTTTGAAAAGGTGATGGAAGCAGAGTCATTGAATATTTTTAAGGCAGAGGTAGATAGATTCTTGTTAAGCAAGGGCTTGAAAGGTTATTGGGGTAGGCAGACATGTGGATTTGAGATTCAAGTGGCACAGCAGGCACAAGAGACTGAACAGCGTACCCCTACTCCTAAATCATATGTTTGTATGAGAATGTGCACTCACTTTTCCATCCTTGAGTGACCCAGAGAGCATGCCATGAGTTGGCATGTGAAGCATCACTAAAACAGAACTTCCTGATGGGTACTCTCATGCGCATAGTTTCATTGTCTTACTGATGGATGAGGATGGAAAATATTATTCTTTAGTTTGGAAAGTAAAGAAAATAAAAATCATTGTTAAAAAGTACTCTGGCTACTGAAATCTGGCTTCTTTTGAAGGTAGTGGACAATAGTTTCCACTTCTGCCAAATATTTAAGTAAGATTCTCTACAGTTGGAAAACTTTACGTTACAACCAATGGAAATGGGTGAACTGACTCCTTTTTATTCAGCTTCCTCAGTTGGCCATAGCAAAGGTTTAAGCTCTTTCTGCATGTGGCTGTACCTCTCTCTGTTAAAAGTATAGTTACCTATATTTTTGATGTGCGAAATAAGGAGCCAATGAGCAAGATTTTCTTGAATCTCAGAACAAATTTACTATTTTCATTGGGTTAGATTGTTAATAAAAATGTGGTGACATGCATATGGCCTTCAGGCAGTCACTTGGAATTGTACACGTGCATATTCACACACATACAAAGTTAAAGGGGAATAGTGTGTGTATGTGCGGTTTTTTGAAATAGTCAGATACAGTGTATATTTCAGTTATTGAAAATTAACCGCACTTGATTATAATTTTCCGTAGCTGCTTCTATGGGAACCATGTGTTAAATGGAGGCAATAGTTTCCCTTCCAATATCTGCCCAAATGCTCTCAGAACCTCACTTGAAATACTAACTTCCCTGTATATTTTGGATGAGTCTGGCTGCAACAGCTATTGTGTCAATGTCTAGTATTTTGAATTTATTAATCTCTTGCTGATTTCAGCAAATGTTTCAATGGTTGAAAACCTGGCTATTGACCCACAGTGGGAACAATTCCATTTCTACCATGAGTTTGATGGTCCATGGTTCAAGTTCCATCGTTATCTTTTGATTTGGAAAGGGAGTTTGAATCCTCTTCTTTGCATAATGTGCTTCAATTACGAGCCTTTGTTTCAGCAATAACTGTTGCAGACATATTTGCGGATTGCTTTGTGAGCTATATATTGCAAATTATGAATTTTCATGTCCAGGTAATTGCCCTTTGATAGCCTTATCTCGGTCTGGTAGCCTGTCTCTGTTAAATGCTCTTTATTATTTTCCCAAGAATTTGACTACTTTCCAGTCAATTGACTTTGACAGTCATTCTCAAGTGTCCCAGCTCTTTTCTTCTTTGGAAAAATTGTGACTAGTAATAAAAATGTCAGAGTCTTCCTATCTGGTGAAATATACTCGTGAGACAATGTTAGACAGCGGACACTAGCAATTCTTCTCAGCGCAACTTCAAGAAAACTGTTTTTGATACCCAATGAAATTCAATCAACCTGCTTGAATCCTCTTATACATTATTCTGTAATCGCGTCAGATTAGATCGTTCGCTTTAATTTTATTTTCCACAATGATATACCGTAGATTGTTGCTTTGGAGACTCCCGGCTCACTTGAACTTTTTTTTCTCACTTCTGAAGCCCGAGGCTTTGAAGTTAGTCAATTGGATTTGAAAGATTAACAATCTGTATTTTATATCATTTTGGCACTGAAGATAGTATAGCTGCTGTGAGTTATGCAGACAATTGATCAGTTCACAATCCTGTATACTGTGAAAGCTATGAGTGAGAAAAGGTTACAGATTGACTTTATTGGCTTGAACCAGATGAAGGGGAGAAGGGAAATCTCTACAATTAAATGGATGGATGCAAATCTTCACTGTCTACCTGCTGTACAGAAGGAAATGTATGCATAAAAGAATTCCAGAGAAGGAATGCCTCATAATGTAATGCTTTATAAGAAATATGGAGGCTTGAATTAGTTTTGAAACTTAGGTTTTACATAAAAGCCATTTTTTTAATTTAAAGAGAGAAGACAGTAAAACCTAATTCAATTCAATTCTAAGAGAATCTGCTACAGAAAGGAAAATACTATGGATGTTGTAAATCTGAAACAAAGCATTGGAATACTAGGCAGGTCAAGCAGCACTTGTGGAGAGTAATGCAGCACACTACAGTGTAAAGGTCAGGGGAGAGCCCACCTTCACTTGGCTGGCTGGCTGGCTGGCATGCTTCACAGCCATTTAACAACCGCTGGCTCTGTAATTGGCTTGGGGCAATACTTGGGGCAATTGGCTTGTGCCCACATCAGAGCAGTAATTCCACCTCAAAGAGCTGTGGGCCAATCAGATGGCCAGTGCTTCCTTGTCTCAGCAGCACTATGGGGAACATTGGCTGTGGTTGGGGCTTTTTGCAGTTCTGAAGGAAATGTTGTCTACAGACTTTCCATTATTCGGCAACTTCCTCTGTAGGTTAATTACCTGCAGGGTTTGTTGTCCCATACCCTCTCTGGGACCATAATAGTCTGCCCAATATTTCTGATGTGCAATCTTTCATCAGCATTGAAATATAAAGTCTGTCTTCTTTCTTTATAAGATACTGCCTGAGTATTCACTGCTTATATAAGGGAATCTATTAATTGTACATTGTAAACAGGTGACTAGTGTTCACTCGGGATTCACCTGCACCCAAACAGTGTCCCTTTTAAGGGGTTGACCATTTAATTATTTATTCATTTAGTTTGCTCAAAATAATATAGTTTGGAACAGACTGAAAATGTAGTGGGTGGGTTAAAAGATATGTTATGGATCAGACCAAATCCCACCTCAAATATATCAAGGAGATCGCCTAGACCCTAACTTTTATCTTATTTAAAGGCAGTGTAAGGTGCTGTGTTCCAGATGTAGTTCAATTGGTCACACTATTCGGCTTTAGGCAAAACACACTTTATTCTTACCCCCAGTTAAAATTGAAACAAAATAAAGAAGAATTGGTATAAGTTTAACTTGATTGGAAAACTTAACAGAATTATAGATTGTTTAACCATTAAGCAGCAACTGTTCCAATACAGTAGCATCCCATGAACACGAAGGAAAAGACGAATTCCGTAAAACAAATTGTCTCACACATGATCCTGGCACAGAAAGAGAACCCAAACTTTTAGCTGTAAGAGAGAGAGAAAGAGAGAGACAGCTTCCCACATCCAACTTCAAAACTCCACCAACTGTTGAGAGCTAAACTAAAACTCTGGTTCTGCGGGAGCCTGACTCCACCCATACATGCTGCTTCTATTGTTCTAACTTTAAGAAAAACCCCAAGGCCTCACAAGCTGTTTACTTTATTGGATTGGAAGAGACAGCTCCTCGCCTATAGCTCAAAACCTCATGTCAAAAAAAAACAAAATACACTTCTAAAGCTTATATTCTCTCCTTCACTACCCAGCCTTCTGGAAGAGAACTCCATGATCCCCTGTACCATATCTGTTACCAACATGGTTATGGCAAAAGTTGAAAGAGGATGTACCTATTGGAAATCATGTTGAAACATTTAAAACAATGCTTTAAAAACTCATCTCTTGACCAGACTTCTGGGTACTTGCCCTGATATCTCTTCAAATGACACATTTTGTTTTACATCACTCTTGTGAAGTGACTTGTGAACTTTTACTGCCTTATACATACTATAGAACTGCATGCCGTTGTTGAGTTTTCTTTCTATATTATTGTTTGTAATGTTCCCAAGTAGCAATGGGGGTTTGGGACCATGGGTCTCCAACGTATAGGAAGTGTTTGGCTTGAGTAAATTTGTTTTAAGTATGCATTGTACAATTGGGTTAAATACTGTTTAGTAACAGAATTGGTCAATGACATATTCAGCTATAAGCCAAATGGCACAATTCAAGCACATAGTCAAAGTTGACATCTCAATAAATTACTGAAGAAGTGCTCTGTATTGAAGGTGTTGTCTAGCATTCAGCTGAATATTAAACAGAGGCTCCTTTGATTGGATATAAAGTGTGTGACAATGCTGTGGCTTTAAGAGGTGTATTTTGCCTGATTTATTTTGAAGAGAGGTTTTAGGGCACAGGCACCAAGCAGTCTACCAGAGCCACTAGAGTAAACAGTTTGTGAGGCCTTGGGTTTTTTTAAATTTAGAATGATAGAAGCATCCTGAACGGGTGTGGTCAAGCTCCCAGAGAACCAGGATTTTTAGTTTTAGCTTTCAGCAGGTTGGGGAAGACGTGGAAGCTGTCTTTTCCCTCTGTCAGTTACAGCCAAAAGCTGGGGGTTTTCTTCCTGCTGTGGTAGTTGCATGTGAGACTATCTATTTTCTGAATTTGCCTTTTGCCAAGAGTGTGTTTATGGGATGTTACTATATTGGAACAGTTAATCAGTAATACTTACTGTACTTTTTATTCTGTTACGTTTTCCGATAGTTATTCCAATTCCTTCTTTCTGTTGTTGTATTTTAACTATAGTGGATGAATAAAGTGTGTTTTGCTTTAAATCCGGTAGTTTGACCAATTGAATTGGAACTCAACATCTTACGTTAACCTTTAAAATAAGAAAAGGTAGGGTCTGGACTATTTTATGAATATTTTGAGGGGGTTTGGTCTGGCTCATAACAAATGTCCCATGGCATTCTTTGAAGAAGGGCAGTATGTTTTCTTGAGTCCTGACCATCATTCCTACCTTAGCTAATGTAATCAATTAAAAGAATTAGTTATTTCACCTCATTTTTGATTTGCAGATTGACTGCAGAGTCTGAATTTTAAAATAATTCACTAAATATGAATCAGTTTGCAAATGTGTTAAAACACTATTCAAGCACAATTTGTTTAATATAACACACTCTTTTTTGCATTTTCAGCTTGGCCTGACGATTGCCATTCGTTATAGTCACAGGTAAATCTAGCAAATATTTTTCAATCTCTGTTTACATGGGAAAAAGACAAAAAAAAAATCAGATTTCTTAACATTGTGGTTTATGTTCTGGAGATGAAAAGGGGAAGTACAAACTGTGCTTTGCTGACTCATACCTTCCATGTATTAAGCTTCAGTTGTCGCTTAATGTAATGGTCTTCATTTTTATTGCAAGCAATAAATTTCCATGACAGGGCAAAGCATATAGCTGTGTCTGCAAATACAGAAACCACCATAGCTAATTTCCTGGCATCCCCAGAAACCCCCCTAACAGACAGTGTGTCGCTCCCTGTGTGCCACCCCCAAAACCCCACTTCTACCACCTACACAAAAAAGATCCACTTCCTCGTGGGTGGTTGTGTAACTCCACAAAAACTGAATCTTGCAAATAACTCATGATTCTTTTCTCATGTACAGAATTGCAATGCAATTGCACTGTGAAACATATGATGGTGTTGTGTGTAATTTTTAAATGTAGAATTAAAAGGGGATTATCTCATCTTGAGAGAGGCAGAACACTTAAACTAGAGGTGAACTACAGAGACCTTTTGAAAATGTCTTGCCGTGCTTCTCTTAATATTCAGAATAAATTGCTTTGTTTGAGGATGAAATATATTGTAATGTTAGATAACTATTGTGGTGATGGATGTTTTTATGTATAAATCTGTAAATTTGGTATTACAGAACATTACTATGATATGCAGCTGGAATTTGTAATGCACTGCACCTGAGCTTACCAGCAGCATGTTGGTCAATTTTTTGTTTTTCTAAGTGCTTGTTTTTTTTTTACGAATTTAGTTCCTAAATGATTTTGCTGTCAACATTTGTTGGGAAGGGTGAAGGGAGCAGAGAGGAGGTGACAGAATGTCAGAGAGTTAAGATGATCTTTAGTGGTCACTAAGTTGAATTTTCTTTCCCTGCAATACTCTTCATAAACACAGCTTTCAATTTTAGCTCATTCTTTTACTTATATTTTTATCCTTTTTCTTTCTCTCTCTCTCTCTATCTCTGACCTTTCCCCCTCACTCCATGCAAATACTAACTTCTCTCATTGTTCACAATCCAGCACAAGTCTCAAGCATGTGAGAGTTGCAAACGCAGTGAGCAGGCTGTTTAATTGGGCAGACTCATATGGACCATCGTTTCCAAATCTGACATCCACACTGCCACAGTAGGTGTTGCTGTAAGATAGTTGGGTGGGGTCAATCTGGCTGATCATTTTTTCTCTTTCTCTGTTTATCACTATTTCCCCTGGCTGATATTAGCTAATGCAGCACAGACCAAAAGAAATAGGAACAGAAGTGGGCTGTTTGGCCTCTCGAACCTGCTCCGCCATTCTATAAGATCATGGCTGATCCATTATTCCTCATGTTCATTTTACTGCGTTTTCCCTGTAACCCTTGATTCCTTGACTAATCAAGAATCTATCTATCTATCTCAACCTTAAATATACAGAAGGACTCTGCTCCCACTGCTGTCTGTGGTGAGTAATTCCAAAGGCTCTCAACCTTCAGAAGAAATTCCTCCTCATGTCAGTCTTAAATTGGCACCTCTTTATTCTGAGACTATGCCCTCTGGTTCTAGACACTCCCATGAGGGGAAACATGCTCTCAGCATTTAACCTGTCAAGACCCTTACAGATCTTATATGTTTCAATGAGATCACTTCCCATTCTTCTAAACTCCATTGAGTAGAGTCCTAACCTGTTTAACCTTTGCACATAAGACAATCCCTGTATACCAGGGATCATCCCAATTAACCTTCTCTGAACTGCCTCCAATGAAACGATATCTTTCCTTAATTGAGAGGACCAACACTGCTCACAGTAGTCCAAATGTGGACCCATCCTGGGACTTACTGTTTTGCATAGCCCAGTTTGCAACTTTGAGCTGGGTATTTGTAAAGAACTCTTTCACCAATATTCATGGGACATTGAGAAGCAGCTTGGGTTACTGCGCCCAGCAAAACCTATGGACCTTGATAACAATCGAAAAAACTGCGGATGCTGTAAGTCAGGAACAAAAACAAGTTACTGGAAAAGTAACTTCCTCAGTTCTGAGGAAGGATCACCAGACCCGAAACATTAACTCTGATTTTTTTCTTCACAGATGCTGCTGAGCTTTTCCAGTAACTTTGTTTTTGGGCCTTGATAACATCCTGACTATATCCACCTATGACCTATTCACAAATAAAGATAATTCTGCCATGGCCAATTACAGTCCTATTAATGAATCCATTCAGGATATTATTTCAGAAAATTGGGATGAGTGGGATTCTAAGAGAAGACACTCCTATGGCTGGGGCTATAAATGACAAAAAGATGATGGCAGTGGACGGGTTATCACTGGATGTTACTGCAAGTGCTTTTATGGAAGTGTCCTCAGCACGTACCTTGGTATTGCCACCTAAGAATTATTATTAAACAAAGTGAATAAGAGAGAACCTGGTCTTCTTTCCATGATCTTCAATGGCACTCGGTCACCAGGTCCCCACCATCAAAGATATTGTCCATCTCTTTTGGAATGAGCTTGTATCAAAACCTTTAAGAACAAGACCAGGGCATAATCTGGGCATTGTGCAACGAGTGGTTCACATCTTGAACCTTTTACAGTCTTCATGGGACATTGTACAACTTGTAAGACACTTTTTAAATGTAAATCACTAACCTTCTCCAGAAAAGTTACCTTGAGTAAGTTTGTTTTCCTATGGCTTGCACATGTGTAAAAAGGATGGCACCCTCCTGTGTCCATTTGTGTCTACCTATTGTCTTTCCGGAACTGAAGTCCTGTCTCTCATTTTCCCATTGTACAGTCCTGCTGTCCTCTTGATTATCTTCCACTACTTTCAGTGGCTGACTAAATTGGGACACCACCCATTTTATTGTTACTTTGTCAGGCTTGTTGACTTCCTTGTTTATGCTTATTGTCACTAAATCATCTGCTGGTGACTATTCTGGAATAGTAATCCCAATTGCCTTCTGAGTGTCTCCCTCCTGACACATAATGCTGTTTTCTGGAGATTAATTTCTTAATCTCGTCCTGTACATTCCTGCTCATTTATTTTTGAAGGGCAACCAAAGTCCTCTTGCCAAACTTTGCGCCATGTTTGGTGGCCAAACTGCAAGGTGGTTGTCATCACCTTTATGATGTATGTCAGCCTCCGAATTACTCCACCAGAAACCTATTCTCTATTGAACTACAGTTTGACTCTGCGTAAGTGCCTTTAATGTTGAGGAAATCCCAAAATGCTTCATAGCGGTGTAATCATATAAAAATAGATTCAGAGATAGTGACAGGGATGACTAACAGCTTGGTCTAACCTCTCAACTCTCATCATTGTCAATAACTCTGTGCTCACCTCTTGGTGAACTCCTTATGGAAATCCATTCAGTGGATATGCAGTGAACTTGCACAAGTTCACTGTGTTTTCCACCTTTGCAAAACATGAAGGTCATTTTATTATATCTCTTGTAACTATAACCCTTTAAGATTTGCTTGATGTTCAAAAACCTTTCCAAACTTATATCCCTATTATTGGGATAGGATTACTGGTTTAAGTAGGCAGCAAGTGTGAGTTGCATTTCTTTTCTTGTATGTTAGTGTTTGTTTTTATTGTGTTTGGACATGGAAGTATATTGACAGAAATTACCCAGCCCAAATCATCTTTAGACTTGCATTAAATAATGACAAAGTTTAAACCTCTAACTCACTTTGGTAAATAGTGTAGTGTGAGAAGACATGACTGAAGTAGAACAGTGTATTTTAGACTGCTTACTGTGGAAAATATTTCATGTGGCAATAGGCTGCATAATCCACCTACATCTTTGTTGCTCGTGGGTTTTGAGGTAATTCCCTCATAAAATATTTTCCGTGTTCAACAACCTATTTTTTTTGTGCAGCCTGTGTACATTTTGGGTGCATGTTAATGAAGAGTATCTAATTCTGTTGTGTCCTTGGCTTGTTCTGTTCAAAGATCATTTTTTAAAAAGAAGAACAATTCCATTTGATTATAAAAGATCCAGACTAACTAGGTGCATTGATCTTGGTTAAGAGTTTATCAGTGATTTTCATGTCAGAATTTATGCCGATTTTGTTGCTTTTCCTCATTTTATTATCTGAAAGTTTACAATTATCATCTTCACTTCATTTACAATAACTTTAATGATCCTGCATGTTTGCCCAGGCACAAAGGTATTGCAGTTAGCCCTTACAAGGTGAAAGACTTACATGCGAGAGATGATACAGATCGAGGTACTTTTCACAATTTTAACTTTTAATTTTTATTTTCTGGGCTCCAGATATGTATCTGTGTTTCTTTTCTAAAATGACCTCTGGACTAAGCAATCAGAGGCTAAATATAGGTTTTACTATTTCTATTTCTTATGCATGAAAGTCTCATCACTTTTATTGTGAAAGCAAATGTTATCTCCTGACAGGCAGTGAAATCTTTACTAAGCAGCTGCCACAAAGTGACAAGCAAATCTTGGTCCAGAATTGGTCAGGCCTGGCTGAGAGATTGCCTCTGAGACAGAAGGTCATAGCTTTGAGGCCTACAGCAGACATTGAGAACTTAATTTAGGTTGGTAGCCTGGATGCATTTCCTCAACTACAGAAAGTAGGCTGTTCAGGAGAATACATGTAAGGATGTATGTGAGGAAATACCTCACTGGTTTCTACAGCATGATTTATCTCCCATGTTGAAGACGGTTATCACAGTTCTAATGTCTGGTGCTGGGATCTTTTTCTTCCTCATCTGTAGGATGAGTGTGCAAAAGCTTTAAGCTCCACCTTTGAGGAATTCAACTGGAATAATGTCAAGGCCATATGCCTTATTGTTTTTCATTCACTTGATTGCTTGTTGCAGCTGTCCAATTGATGGTGGTTCACCCACGGATTTTATCACGGGCTGCAGGGAGGTAATCTTCAGGCTATTGGCTGTCACTGTGTATTCATGGTTGAGGAATTGTTCAAAATGTTTCATTC